GGTTACTGGTGAAAAGTTGAGTAGGGCAGTTTTTATTTGTCTTGCATCCATTGTATCAGGCGGTGCATTGGTCCAACATGCAGGAAACCCTCTATTGGGCATGACTAGCAGTAATGCAACTTCATCAGAAACAAATTTGACATCTTTCCCTCCCAAAATGAATGTCATTCGATCAATGTTCCAGCAATTTATTATGTGCATCGTCAAAATATTGTCCTGGGGATACAAAGGGAGTTCAAAAAATTGAGCCAAACTCAAGGATTCCAATTTATGCCATGTGTCTTCATCGAATTTTGGCGGACATTATCGAGAACCTCTCGTACTGCAAATGGACGGCATCTGCAACTAATTGCTTTTGGGTTCAAGAGCCTACAACAATACATGAGAATAGTTTAATAAAATCTATATATCTGGTTGGCGACATTAGGGCTTCATTTAAAATTCATTTCATCTTAAATAGATTAAAACAACCACAATAATCAAAACCTAGAATAATTTTTACTGTATTAAAAATGGTATAGAACATTGCACGGGATATCATTGTTGTGCTTCTTAACCATGAATAAGATTTCACCATTCAAATGAAAACAGCTACAAAAATCTAATAAATACCTGGAAACAGGATGACTCTCCCCCTTCTTCGACTGTTTGCGGCCGCCTTTCACTGTAACGGTTGCCTACTCGCATTCGGGTTGGTTACCCTCACCCAAACCAACACCACTGGTTTCTTCCAAGGTCTTCGTAGTCTCATCCTTATCCTCCATTATATTCTTCCCTCACAGTAGCAAAAACCCTAACCTTCAAAACGAACACGATTAAGGAAACCTAGCGGTGCGAATCCCTTTGTTTCGAATACGATTTCTTACTGTGACTTTTTAATTTTTACCAGGGTAAATAGGTTATAAGGAGTTACTTGAGGGTTACATCGCAGTTATATCAACGTTACATGCGCATTTCCAGTGTACATGGGCATTACAATCGGGTTACACAAACACTACATTCGGGTTAAACGCGTGGTACAGTCTCTAGGTTACACCGGTGTTACATATAATGTACATCTAGTGTACATCCTGATGAGTGACCGCAGAGTTACAGGGACGTTATCGCGGAACTTACACCGGGGTTACATCCAGTGTACACACACAGTCAGAGGTTACATCAGATGTACAACAAGAGTACACGCGGGTTGCAGGGGCGTTACCGCGGAACTTACACCGGGGTTACATCCGACACTACATTCGGGTTAAATGCGTGGTACAGTCTCTAGGTTTCACCGGTGTTACATATAATGTACATCTAGTGTACATCCTGATGAGTGACCGCAGAGTTACAGGGACGTTATCGCGGAACTTACACCGGGGTTACATCCAGTGTACACACACAGTCGGAGGTTACATCAGATGTACAACAAGAGTACACGCGGGTTGCAGGGGCGTTACCGCGGAACTTACACCGGGGTTACATCCTGTGTATACCGCGGAGATTACACCGGGGTTATATAGGGCTTACAAGCGCGTTACAGGGGGGTGACAACAAAGATTACACTGGGATTACATAGGGCTTACAAGCGCGGTACAGGGGGGTGACAGCGGATATTACACTGGGGTTACATAGGGCTTACAAGCGCTTTACAGAGGGGTGGACAGCGGAGATTACATCGGGGTTACAATAACGGGTCGGGTCGACGGGTCACGCACAGTAAAAGGTATATTTGTATTGCGGTGGGGCCGACGAAACTGACGTCTTCCGCTGATTCACTATCGCACGCAGCGCTGCGTGCCTCTTATGTACCCAAATTTTTTCCTTGCTATAGTGAAGGATTGTAGAATCCTTCGCTGTCGAGCGATCAAACAAAGAGATCGAACCGGCATGCAAGCAAAACCGAGAGGGTGAGGAGCGAGAGCTCTAGAATGATGATTTTCCCTTCAGCGCATAGGAAGGGTTAATATCGTGTGGGTAATGTGATTTTGAACAATGAAGATGAGATTAGAGAGAGATTTAGGATAATTAAGGTTTTAATTAATTTGTTTATGCTTATAGCTGCATATTTTTATATCTTTCGATCAATCATAATTATATATAGTATTATATATTGAGTTGTTCAATTTTTTGTGTAGAATTTTATAAAATTGATTCGATTGAAAAATGAGAAATGTGAAATTCGAGATATTTTAAGTCGTCAAAGCGGCGAAGCTTATGTGTCTTCCTCTGATTGGCTATCGCACGCAGCTCAGCTTGCGTCTTATGCACCCAAGTTTTTTCCCTAGCTCACACACGCAAACTTCAGCTTCCCAGAACCCTCCTACTTCACGTGAAACTGGTTTTTTCGATCAAACGCAGTGCTTCTCCTCTCAACAGAGCCGTGCTTTTTACTTCCTCCCTCGGCTTCTTCTTCTTATTCGTCATCTTCTTCTTCTCAGTCAACTTCTTCCACCGCACACAAGCATGGTGTCGCTCCTCCACGCACGACGCGGGCATGTTCTTCCTCTTACGCACAGTAGCAGCGCCCGAGGACAAAGGCGAAGCCGTTCGACCAGGGCACTAAGGTTTCTTCTTCCTCCTTCAACTTCCTTCTTCCACAATTGCGACTCGGTCCAAGTAAGCCTTCGATGACGCCACCTCCCTCTCCTTTCTCTGCCTTTAGTTTCAACACAGAACCGCAAATTCTTCTCCTTCCTCTTTCCTTGTCTAGGGCTCGACGTTATACATTAGATGTAAGGCCCGTAACTTCTTCCTTCTCCTATTCGGCTTCCTTTCCTCTTTCTCGCTCGTTATGTTTGATTCAATCGAATGAGGCTTGTGACGGTTATGTTATAACTAAATGGACGTGTCTGTTTATTCTTATTATTTTAACTTTCTGTTATTACAACCTAACCTTTATCTGTTTATCACTGCAATAGAATTAGATCATGACACATCATTTCTTCACAATTGTGAAAGCTTACTATTTGATTCATTAAAATGGTACTTTGAAAATGACTAGAAAAAGCATCCAGGTATATGTAGATTCAAATAGAGTTGATTAACAGTTAATTTTAAAGACTACTTAAATTTATTATGTCGCAAGAGACTTCAACAGTGAAAGTCAAGTATATGTTGATTCTTTGAAATGATGTTGAAAAGGATTTTGATCACTCCGAGAAGTTTCCTGAATTGTTGAAACAACACAATTTGTATGTGAAAACTGAAGTTCCTTTTGGCAGTATGTGTTTTTTTCTTCCTTTTTTGTTGCAAGTTAGAAGGGATAAAATAGAATACTGAAACGCTTCCAAAACAGATCAAAGCTTTTGTGACTCGATATCTTTGTTCAAAATTTTTGGTAGGTAATTATGTTTTATACATACTTTAAATTTCAAGTCATGAAAAACTATGTGCCGTTGCCTTTACCTCTTCCACAAAAAGTACTGCATGCAGCACAAATTTGCATTTCATGTCCAAACAAGAGCTCGAGTGAAATTGCCTTATTCCTTTCGTTGAAACGGATGGTATATGCATAATCTTAAAAATGCTTTTGTGTTTTCTTCATTGCTTGATTAAAATTTATTTTTATTTGAGTTTCTGTAGAAAATACCAAAAAGGTTCGAAGGCCTAAGTTTTGGAAGCATCCGCAGTCGATAACCATGTCTGAACTTAGAAGAATGCGTGAGGAGTTCTGGGACACTGCACCTCACTACGGCGGCCAGAAAGGTAGCTATTCAAGTTTCTAACGTTGGTTAACATGCTTGCATCTCTTGCTAGAAAGCACATGCACTAGTTAGTGCTGTTTTTTCAAGTCATATGCTATTTTAAATGTTGCATACAATAAAGTATGATGAATATATATATATATATATATATATATATATTATTAGGGGTGTAAACGAGCCGAACACGAGTTGTTTGCAAACAAAGAGCCGTTTTTTATTATTTATGACGAATATTTTTAAATCTTGCTCCAACCCTTAACCACCCTCGTCATGTAGCTGTAAGAGGTTAAGGGTTGGGGCAAGATTTAAATTTTATTATTTATATTAAAACATAATTCAAATATAATTTAATATATTTTTATTCTATTTTTTAATTAATAATTTAATTGGTTATAAATTTTTGCAGCGTTGTAGTCAATTAAATTTTAAAAAATACTACTCATCAATTATATGTACTCACACACACACACATAATTGATGAGTAGTATTTTGAGCCAAAACGAGCCTACCCAACACGAACGAACAAATCTTTGTTCGTGTTCAACTCATTTATATATGAAGCGCAAAAAAATTGTTTGTGTTCGGCTCGTTAACTTAGCGAACGAATCTAACTCGAGTTTCTTAATGAGTCGAACACAAACTGTTTGCAAACAACTAATCTTTTTGACAGTCACACACACACACAGAACACACATACAGACACACACACATAGAACACACATACAGACACACACACAGACACACGGGCGTGCGCGCCCACACACACATCCACACAGATCCACACACACACACAGACACACACAGATCCACACACACACATACATACAGACAGACATGCACACACATACAAACACATACAAACATAATACATACAATCATACACACACACATACACACACATACACACGCATACATATACACACATACATACATGCAAATTTTTTAAGGTATCTACGAGTATAATTTTGAAGATACCTTCAGGTATGACAGTAATCTTGATATGTCTTTTAATAATGATCTCATTGGTTTTAATAACTAAGACAACTTTGCTTACTTTTCTCCAAATATCAGGAATATTTGGTGCAGAATTTTGATTGTCAACTTTCCTTATTGTTCAACTTCCCTTCCCTTGTGCTACTAGTTTAAAAATTTCTCATAAGAGAGGAATCCAAAATTGGAGGGCTTCGAATTTTACCGAACAACAAATGTTTCAAGAGTTAACTTCTTGTTAAGGATGCTTCACAGATGTTTGTTAAGATTTGATAAAAGAGAGCTAATTGCTGCTCCTTAAGACGACTTCACTTTAAGAACAACCTTCTTCTAAGTTGTGTCTAAAAGCTTGCTCCTAGTAAATCTTTTAAGGATTATGCCATATTTAGTTAAAATAAAATTGCCCTGCTCACTTTTTGTATAGCAATAGATGGATCCTTCTCGGCAACTTTTTTCCCGATACCTATCGTTAATCTATTTTTTGCAGAGGGAGAGGACTTGATATAGTTGCAAAATTAGTCGGGCCCTCAAGATCAGTAACCTACTTAATAATGTTATTGTGTTTCAACTTTACCTTCTTTAGAGGCAGCATATGATTCAGCAAGAAGCCCATATATTTTTTCTTCTGTTTAAGCTTCATCTTCTCATACTTCTTTAATATAAAAGAGACAAGATCATGATGTAAAGGATCACTAAAGTTGAAGCAAACCAAATGCTTCATCTAGGCCATAGAAAAGAGGAAATTGTAGAGCAGGCCGTGGAAGTTAAAAAAGAGAATTTACAGATTATATGGACTTTCAATGATGCTGTTGTTTACAAAAAAAGTATCAAATCTGATCAGGCATGATTAATGTGACAGCTCATTAGAGTAATGTTTTTTGTCTCTTTTTTTGTGGATTTTCTTAAAGAGAAAAAAGAATTGGGGAATAATTTATGACGAATATTTTTTAATCTGGAATTATGTTTAGAACTATTCAATAGATAAAAGGAGATAATTGACTGCCAAATTGAAGTCATCCAAGAGATTCATAAACTCACTGTTGAGTTCAAGTAGCCAAAATCTATGCGAAATATTTGCCTCTGTACTTGGCCACTGTTTATCGACCTGGAGATCACAAAAACTCATTAAGGTTACTCACACAACTTATGAAATGAACTCGCCAAATTCTTGAGATTTATCGCCCCTCTTGAAGTTACACTTCAACTTAAAATGAAGTCAGCAATATGTCACGGACAAAAAGTCCCACATATGCTAGGTGTAGGACCGAAAAGTAGTATTTAAATTCTGGGCTGCCAACCACACCGAAGAGCTCTTTTGGGAGGTGACAAGTGGTATCATAGCAGATTACTGTCTGTAAGGTGTGTGGACTCGGTGTGTGGACTCTCCCTCCATGGTCTAGTGGGACCCTCGGTGGAGCCGAACTGTGACGAGCGCGTCACGTGATTGGTGGAGGAGAATGTCACAGACAAAAAATTTCACATCGGCTAGGTGTAGGGCTGAAAAGCAGTATTTAAGTCTTGAGCTGCCCACCACCCCGAAGAGCTCTTTTGGGAGTGAGATCCTCGGTTGAGCCGATCCGTGACGAGGGCGTCACGTGATTAGGTGGAGGAGAATGTCACAGACAAAAAGTTCCGCATCGGCTAGATGTAGGACCGAAAAACAGTATTTATGTTCTAGGCTGCCCACCACCCGAAGATCTCTTTTTCCCTCGTCATGGATCGGCTCCACCGAGGGTCCCACTGGACCATGGAGAGTCCACGCACCTGACAGACAGTAATCTGCTCTGATACCACTTGTCACCTCCCAAAAGAGCTATTCGGGGTGGTGGGCAGCTCAGGATTTAAATACTGCTTTTCAGCCCTACACCTAGCCGATTTGAGACAATTTGTCCATGACATTCTCCTTCACCCAATCACGTGACGCCCTAGTCATGGATCGGCTTCACCGAGAGTCCCACTGGACCATGGAGAGTCCACACACCTGACATACAATAATCTGCTCTGATACCACTTGTCACCTCCCAAAAGAGATCTTTATGAAAGAGCTCTTCGGGATGGTGGATAGCCCAGGACTTAAATACTACTTTTTGGCCCTACACCTAGCCGATGTGGAACTTTTTGTTCGTGACATTCTCCTACACCCAATCACGTGACGCCCCCGTCACGGATCAACTCCACCGAGGGTCCCACTGGACCATGGAGAGTCCACACACCTGGTTGACAGTAATCTGCTCTGATACCACTTGTCACCTCTCAAAAGAGCTCTTAGGGGGGGTGGGCAACCTACGACTTAAATATTGTTTTTCGGTCTTACACCTAGCCGATGTGGGACTTTTTGTCTCTGACATTCTCCTCCACCCAATCACGTGACACCCTCATCACGGATCAGCTCTACCGAGGGTCCCATTGTACCATGGAGAGTCCACACACCTGACAGACAGTAATCGGCTCTGATATCACTTGTCACTTCCCAAAAGAGCTCTTCGGGATGGTGGATAGCCCAGGACTTAAATACTACTTTTTGGCCCTACACCTAGCCGATGTGGAACTTTTTGTTCGTGACATTCTCCTACACCCAATCACGTGACGCTCCCGTCACGGATCAACTCCACCGAGGGTCCCACTGGACCATGGAGAGTCCACACACCTGGTTGACAGTAATCTGCTCTGATACCACTTGTCACCTCTCAAAAGAGCTCTTAGGGGGGGTGGGCAGCCTACGACTTAAATATTGTTTTTCGGTCTTACACCTAGCCGATGTGGGACTTTTTGTCTCTGACATTCTCCTCCACCCAATCACGTGACACCCTCATCACGGATCAGCTCTACCGAGGGTCTCATTGTACCATGGAGAGTCCACACACCTGACAGACAGTAATCGGCTCTGATATCACTTGTCACCTCACAAAAGAACTCTTAGGGGTGGTGGGCAGCCCAGGACTTTAATATTGCTTTTTCGGCCCTACTTTTTCGGCCCTACAACTAGCCGATGTGAGATTTTTTGTTCGTGACATTCTCCTCCACCTAATCACGTGACGCCCTCATCAAGGATCGACTCAACCGAGGGTCACCCTGGAACATGTAGAGTCCACACACCTGACAGACAGTAATCTGCTTTGACCCTGGAACATGTAGAGTCCACACACATGACAGACAGTAATCTGCTTTGATACCACTTATCCCCTCCCAAAAGAACTCTTAAGGGTGGTGGGCAGCCCAGGACTTAAATACTGTTTTTCGGCCCTACACCTAGCCGATATGGGACTTTTTGTCCGTGACAAATAGTTGCAGTTCAATCTGTATTTTGGTTGTAAGCCATCATAATTTTTCTTTGTGATTATAAAGTTTAAAGTTATCTGAGTTTATTCATATTCAAGCTTTGGTGAACATTATTGTGTAATTTTACGTATATTGCTCAAATTTAGACTTTTCTGTAGCATCACGTCTCAACTCGAACTTACAAATACAGGTAATAACAAAAATAAGGCTTCTTGCTCCCTTCCATGGGGGAAGGAACAGATTTAAGGTTTATATGTAGTAATAACAGAAATAAAATTAGTTCAAAAATTTTCTATACTAATGTTATCTTCTAACCTTTTATTTTCCCAGAGATTTGGGATGCTCTCCGTGTTGCTGCAGAATCTGATATCAACCTCGCTCAAACCATTGTGGATAGTGCGGGCATCATCCTCGCAAATGCAGACATGACCATCTGCTATGATGAAAGAGGTATGAAAAGTCTCTTTTAGCTGTGTAAACGAGCCAAGCCGAGCTGAGCCCCAACCACTTCTTGCTTGAGCTTGAACTTAATCAATTAATCGACATCAAGTTCAAATTTAAGTATAATTCTATGAGTTATAGCCACATCCGACTCGCGAGCCAAGGCCAAGGCTTGACTCGTTAGTTCATCGAACTCAGTTCGCTAGCCATCTATCAACACGAGCCCGAGCCAGCTCATGACTCTGCTTGGCTCAGTCACAACCTCGGCTTCTTTCAACTTTGCCATTACTTCTCTAACTCATGAATTAACATAAAATTTTCTTACAGGAGCGAAATATGAATTGCCGAAGTATGTTTTGAGTGAGCCCACCAATTTGATTCCTGATAGTTGACCATCCTAGGAGAAGAATTTGAATGGGACTGAGATGATTGTACATCCTCTACATTGATTTGTACTCCATTTCTTTTGTTTGCTAACTATATTTTGATATTTCTCAGTAACTTTTGAATATTTACAACTCCTTTAGGAAACAAATGTCTGGCAAATATTCTGCTTCTTTCATTCAGCAAATTCAATGTTCATACGGTATTGCTTTGTAGCTGCTTCACAGCACTTTCTACCAAAGTTATTTGCTCACACAATGAATAGGATATTGTGTTTTTGAACATTTCTAAGGAAAATCTGAGGGCTTATTACTATTTTTTTTTTGGGAAATTTACATACTAGCGCCCACTTCTTATGGATTTACGAATCTCGCATCTAAACTTCCGTATTTACAAGCATAGCACTTTATCTATGTATGAGAAAGTGACGACAATTATCTAAACTTTGATTTTTATATTTATAACATTACATCTAAGCATTAAAGGTTGTATTTCGTCATTTCGATCAAAGTCAATGGCAATGCTAATTTTGATGTAATATGAAATATTTGAGCGTCGCAAATATAAAAAATCAATCTTTAGATGTTAGATATGTAAGTGCCAAAATAAATTTAAAATTGTCATTTGAAAGTTGTTACCATTTTAGCTCTCAAAAGTAAATAATAAATTTGTCTAATTTCATGTTTTTTTTTTCCATTGTGCAAAATATTGTGTGTATTTGTTAAAATATAAAAGTTATTGTGGGCCTTTTAATTTATGAAATCATATGAAGTAAACATACCTATAAAACTGTAAAAACATATGAAATGAATATATATATATTTTTTTTGTGCTATAGTATTTATCTATATTTAAAACATAATAAATTTAGTAAAAAAAAATCTAGTGACCAATCATTGATCATTCCACAGCCAGATTCACATTATCTACTTCTATTTTTTAGGGAAATGCACAGATTGATCACATTTGACCTAACAATTGCGTCGTACAGTCCATTTTTGTTAGATGAATAGTACGTTGCAGGCCATAGAGCAAGACTTGCAGTTTATTTGGGACAATTGAAGTTGTCTAAAGAAATAAGAAACTATTAACAGCTTTCTAACAGTCATCGCGTTTAGTCGGATTAAGTTATAAAATGCAGCATTCCATCGTAGCTTTTTGAAAAAGCAGACTGTGTTTTGTCAAACACAAAAAAAAATATGTGCGACGCCATACAACCACCACACTGCTACCCCAAACATATTTTTAATCATCATAACTCCCATATACCCTAGGCAGTGTTTTTAGGCTCAACTTTTTTTCTTGCCAAGACATTTGAAAGTGAACGAGAAATATAGTGCGACGCCATACACCCATCACCCTGCTGCCCCAAACGTACTCTTAATCATCATAACTCCCATATAACCTGCATAAAGAAACCAACATGTAGGCAGTGTTTTTAGGCTCAACGTTTTTTCTTGCCAAGACATTTGAAAGTGAACGAGAATGAGGTGGAACATAAATAATGTCTTGTTCAATCTAATTAAGCTAGTTAATGGATTCAAATGAGACCAATAGGAATATGATTTTGACAGATACTTTCAAGGAGGTAAATACAAATATACAAAAATAAAAAAGGAATCTTTTAAATAAAATGTAAGAATTAATGAATTTTAAACTATATTGTTAGAATCCTAAAAATATATACATTCTTAAATGGACAACTACATACCGACCACCCGAAACATTGATATTTACGAATTAAACACACATGAGTGAGGATATAATCATAAGAAATTGATCAAAGAGTTAGCCAGCTTTTTTATATTATATTCATATTATTTATTTATTTAAATTTTTCTTAAGAAAAATTTAATTAGAATTAGAAAAATCATGCCTATCTGAATTATCCTAATTCACATTTCAAATAATATTTTAATGGGGCGATTACATATCACCCAATTCTTATGTATTAACAAGTTAACCATCCAAGCTTTAATTTTTACGTACGAATCATCTGATTCCTATGTTTTCAACGTAATTTAAAACTGTCTAGTGATAAAAATAGAAGTTTAGGTGATTGATATGCTTATACACAGGTATTAGGCAGTAGGTACGTAAATCTCCCTATTTTAATTGATACATTTTATTAATGAGCAACAAATAAAAGTAGTAAATATTTCGTTCAGATATCACATGTATTCATACATCTCATCGACAGACAACATAACAATCTAAGTATATTGTTAGACAAAAGACAATATTAACTAACACCTCTTTTTCTTCATACATCTCATCGACAGACAACATCACAATCTAATAGACAAAAGACAATATTAACTAACACCTCTTTTTCAATTTTTCGGCCCATTGTCGGGCAATCAATGGCTAACCAGATCACAGCTTCGCCTCAAACTACGCGATCTCAAAACCCGAGAACCTGAAAGAGCACACGAGCGAGGTCGGGGAATCTCCTTCCTCTGATCCCCACCCGTTTCATCTTTGTTCGTTTTGTTAGCGGAGATGTGGAAGGTCTACGTTGGGAATTTGAGCTCTAGAATCAGAGAAATGGAGCTTTCGAAAGAGTTCAGTACCTACGGACTCGTAAAAAGGTCTTTATTCTTCTTGAATTTTTGTAGTTATTCATGTACTTTATTACTTCTTTGGAGCCGTGAGTCGGGCCTGTCAATTTTGTTTTGGGATTCTAGACGTGCTTCGTTAGGGTTTATCACTGTAATTACTGTGCTGTTTTATGGGTTGGATGGCGGGGTTTTTGTCAAGGTTGGGGCGATGGGGAGGCGTTGTGTGTGTTGGTTTTTGTGGACAAAATTGTACGCAGTGCAATTTTGGATATGGGGAAGGAGGGAATCTTAGCTTTTGATGTGTAATTTTTTTGTAAGATTCTGATCTGGGGAAAGAAAGGTGCTTGATTAAGTAAAACTGTTTTTTTGGCTGCTGCCACGAGTCTGATGGATTTGGGGTTTATATGGTGAACGCTGAACTATAGACTGTTATCTCCTGTGGTGGAAATTCTGATTGGGTGAATTGTTGTAATTAAAGTATGAATAGGGTTATCTTCTTTTCCAGCTTTTATGGGTTGGTGCAGCATGCATCCTTTTTGCAGTCGTTCTGTTTTAGAAAAGTTACGATTAATAACAAAAGTAAATTTAGACATCTGCTTAGCTCGTTCTTCTTAGGGGCAGATTGCGTAAGTAATAAGGAGTGTACTGTAAAAGGAATGCAGTGGGTTTTGAAAATCCTGATGTTCGGTTGGAAGAAAAGAAATGTACTATAAAATTTCAATAAATATGGAATTCACTTGATTTCAATGCTATTCAAATTTATTGGATTTAGATAAATTTCATATACACCGTTTGTGTGAAGTATTGTCCTTTGTTGCTGAAGCCTGTTCGTCGCCACCCTCGTCCTCCTGCCATTGTTGTTGGCCACCTGCCCCCTTCTGCCACAGCCGGCTGCCATCCCCTTTTCACTGCATTTCTCTTATAATGCATTCATTTTTCAGCAAACCATGTATTCTCTTAGTGTGTCAATGCTTGTATAATCCCCTAGACTCATTTTTGTTATAGCAGGCATCACTTTGATAATTTGTGAGACTGTACAATTGTGAAGTGATCTTGATTATGAATTTAAAGAATTTGAGGGGGCTAAAAAATGCAGCTTTTTTAATCCTTTTGAATGGGTGAAAATTGCTTTATCATGAAGAATTCTCACAAGCCCAAATTGTATATTGATTGTATTGGATACTTAAAAGTTCAACTTATCTTTTAGCTTGCATGATGTTAATTCATCTTTCTTGCGTTTTTCACATTTACTGAGTTTAGTGAAATTGGAAATGTGTTATATTGAAAAATGAGAGGGAAATAACTTTCACGACCTGATCCAAGACTTGGAATTAACCAAGACGGGAACGAATGGTCGGACGGAGAAAATAAATTTTCTGTAATTTTATATTTTCACGAACAATTTAATATTCAAATATTCACGAAAGAGACACTATAGAAAGTAATTTAATTAACAAGTAGAAGTTTTATCTTTTTAGCTGTTGCTCTCGCCTGCTGAAACGCATTAGCTCCTCTTTTGCACATCATATTTAAAAACTTAAAACCTGAAAAAATCATTAAAACAATAAAATGAGCTATTTAAATATAACCCAGGAGTGATCACACTTCTAAACTACAGCAACCCAATGAAAAATAAACAATGCATGCTGGTCTTTCATATTTCATTAAAATATTATAATAATCTAGTGTATGTATCCATGGCATTTACATATATGCTTTAACTTTAACCTTACTTTACAAAGTTTAGTCTTTAACTTTACTTTTATTTTATACTCTTAATATTCACATCTGACTTTAGGAGCACCGCTAAAACATAATCTAACACACCTCTGACCGATATTATCCAGTCGACACTACGTTTAGTGATCTAATTTGCACAGTGTCTACTCGATCCCAACCGACATTCTCCTGTCGGCACAGTGGTTAGCGATCTAAACATCATAGTTGCTCGGGGTGATAAGATAATATCTTTGTGCGCATGTCCAGGAGCGTCTCCTGTCTGTACTATAAGGGGTTGAGCTCATGCTCTTAGCATGCACATACAAACATTTATATCTACATTATTTCATTCATCATTACATATATTCTTCCTTATTATACATTTTCATTCATCTACTAATGAATGAATGCACTTTTATTAAAATTAAAATGAAATGTAATAATGTAATTATTTCGTAGATTAACTATTATGCATCTTTATTATGTAAGATTTTTTACATGCATACTTTTAAATGTTATGTCATAATCTGATGTTCTTCTAGGAAAACTATTATACAACTTTTTTTGCAATAATGTTTACATGTATAGTTAGGGTCTGTTTGGTGCAGCTTATTTGCTGCTTATGCGTTTTAAAAACACTCTCCTACTGTTTGTTTTGTGTGTTTGGAGTGCGATCCAGAATAAGCGCGTATCTTTTTTCTTTTGCACGCCAGTCGCGGGTCGAACCCCGCGGCCCGTGTATTCTGTTTTCCATTCGCGATATTACCCCCAACTTTGCTCTCATCCAGGTCTTGATCCCGTGCTCTAAGTTTCTTTTCTCTGCTACGATTCTCGGGAGTTGCTCTGCGATTCTCAGGTGTTGTGCGGAGTGCTATATAACCTAGGGCACGCTGGCCTCGCGCTCCATTGCACCGCATGCCTCTCCACTACTCTCCCCGCTAGCATCACTGCTCTCTAATTGGGCTACTGTGCCCATGCAAAGCTGCCTCCCTTGAACTATCGTCTCTCCAAGTGACCACATCGCACGCCACCGCAAATCCCACTGGTCATCGCCTCTCCCTACGCTTTTTTCGGAGCAAAATGTCATGCGGGGATGCTCCTCCGCATCCTAATGCCATGTTCTACCCAAGCCATACGCATTGCGACCTCCGTGCCTGACAACACCCTTTCTTGGTTCCAACAGCCTCTTAGGAGACCCGCATTCTCTATTTTGTTTCCTGTAAGAGTGGTAATAGCCTCCCATTTTGTTATTACTTCTTTATTACTATTTGCTGAGATATTTATTGAGATCTATTATGGGAGATATGCTATGCACTGTGATCATAGCCTTGGTTGTATTTGGAAAATTTAGAAGTTTTTTCATTGTGATCTATCTTGTTCTTCTTTAGGCAACGTTCATCATTCCTTCATTGTTTTTGGTTTTCACTATATTGCCCAAAATGATGGCACCTCCAATCAATCTAATTCTTTTTACTCTCTTAACCTTCCTTATGCATGAGCTGTCAATCCAAATTTATCCATTGAAGACACTCTGACTTACAAGAAGGTTTGCTAAAATTTGAACTTCTTTTAGCCGATTTTAGTACTGTTGAAAACTTGCTTTTGGTGATTTGAATAGCTTCTCTTTGTGTTGAATTTTAGTCCATCAAGTTCTTTCACTCTACCCAAATTATTTTTGGTGTATATTTAGTTCATCTCTCCAAACCAGGTGCAAAATGATTATTTATCCAGAAACAACTACAAATCAGCTGTTTCCTAAACGCACAAACCAAACAACTAGTGAGCTTATCCGGATAAGCTGCTGATCAGCAGCTTATCAGGATAAATTGTTTATCTGAATAAGCTGGATAAACTGCAATTGCCCCAAATAGACTCTTACTCTATTTTTCATGCATATCTTTTCTAGTCTAATAATATGAAGATCTAACTGAACTAGAGCATGAATGAAATGAAGAATACACTTTGAGTAATGAAAATTAATGAAATTAGAAATGTAATTACTCATCTCAATCTTTTTAGGAAGCCCTTTTTATTAGCTTAATTCCTCGCTTTATTTGCTTGCTAGCCTTTTACCAGTTTATTGCCACGAAATCAAGATCCTAAAATATTTTCAAAATGAATATTAATTTAGTTGTTTACATTTTTTTAAATTAAAAGACATAAAACTAGAATTGTATAATTTACCTCATTTCTTCTAGCAAGGCTAAAAATTATACAATTCAAAACTCATTTACTCTTTTCTATTTAAATAACTTGTTTGGACTCAATAATTAATATCCACATAATGACACTTAATTAAAATACTAATATAGGTAAATTAAAAGAGATATAAATCTTACCTCTATCTTTATCGTCGTCAATTCTTCTCTACTCCAAACCAAATTATATTCATCTTCTTAATTTTTAATTAATTAACAACTATTAATATCTCAATGCACAAACATATGTATTAAATTCACTAATTAAAATAAATAAAACCTACTCTCACCTTAATAATCCTTCGATCCCACACTTAGCTTTGCCCCTGTCTCTCACGCACGATCCGCTGCCTCCCTCTTCTTTCCTCAAGTGTGGCTAGACTTCAACCGACACAACAAGTCAATTTCACCTTCTTCCTCGTCTTTTGCACGCGAGGTTCAGTTTCCCGTTACTTGCACTCAATGCCGCTTCTTCCTACTCCTTTCTATCATCTTTCTTAACTTGCAGACAAGCTTTGCGCACGATCTGATGTTGACTCCTGCAGTCTGCTTCAATACAGTAATAACCACACAGATCCATCACAAGCAATGAGGTCGACTCCCTTCTTATTCATTCGGCTAGGGCAAGATACTTCCTCCTCTCTCACTGCAATGGTGTGCATGCTCATTCCGCTTCTTCTTTCTCCTTTTTCTTCCTTCTTTTCCATTGGTCGGCTAGGGCATGCAAGGTTCTTTCCCAAAAAAATTAGTGATCTTCATCGCCTTCTTCTCCACACTCGATCTCTCACTCTCTCTGCTTCATCGATTCAAAATGATATACGAAATTCATAAATGAAGAGATGCTTTTGTTCGATTTTTAACGTTTTTTTATTTGTATTTTTATTGTTAAGGCTTTGTTGTTGTTTGTTGTTTGATTATTATTCTTATTATTAAAATTTCAGTTTTACAATAACAATAACACATATAGGTGTATTCTAACTTTTTTTTTTTTGAACGCCATCAATTGAATTAGGGTAGAATAATGGCAGTCGACCCTACAAGGAAAAGCTAGTCCCTTAGGTGCTTGGCTATTCAGCTTGGGAGTGGGCCCATTGCGTGTCTAGCCCATTTTTT